AATTCATATAGATGTATTAAACAATTCTCAATCAAAACAGTATTAGAATATGATAAAGGTTTCTTACTATTCTAAGGACTGTTCCTAAAACCCATTTGTCTTTCCTATACAATTGCAAGGCTCTATGAATTACTTTAAATTAAGACTCATCTCATGTGACCAATTCTTAGAAAACCATTATTATATAGCTTCAATTTTTTTACATAAAAATATTCTATCTCCTCACCCTCTTTTAATAATGCTTTTGGTGCTAAGTTATCTAGTCTCAAAATACTTATCCTGAACCACAAAAGGAAGTGGGGGTATGCAACCAGAAGACAAACAAGAATTAGATTGACCAAGTGGTTAGACATCATGTGAGATCTCAAGCCTTTTTCGCTTGAAGCCAACAACTGCCACAACCTATAGGAAAATATGCATTCATGAATATTTAAGTAAAATAATAAATATGAAGTATAAACTTATAATATGTGAAGAGAAAATTGGAGTCTAGCTCCTTATAACAGAGGTAAACCGCCTAAAAAAACAACTGTAGAACAAAAAACAAATGCACATAGATGCAGCGGGTATGCAGAACCCACACCCAAACCTCTCCTTAAACCTCAAGTGCCACTCTCTCCCTCCTCTCACTCCATCACTCTATCTTTCCTCTTCCTTGCATTTTGGTCTTACACTAGAATTCCATTCTTTTATTCACAAATTTCTCCCTTAACAAATTCTACCTTGTTCCTCCTTTGGCTTTCATACACCTGCAACATAGTAAGCCCACTCCTCTTCCAAGCATAATATAATATGTAATATATATAACAATGATTGACCCCATGAAACAGGATAACAGTCAAAAGTCAAAAAACATGTCAGCCACGACCAAAAACCTTATACCTTCAACCATAGTCGCATCATCATTGGCTTAGCTTGTCAAATACATGTTTCAACAAATATACATTTCTTGCAATCATTTTCGAATTTCTATTCCCAGCCACTGGCTATTTCAATTTCATACTATATATTCTTATGATCATTTTTTTCACATCACAAGTTTCATAAAATGCTGAAACAATATAATTATAATAGAAGTATTTAGCATAAATAGACCGCAAGATTTAAATTAACCCAGGGCCGAATTAGCCTCACCTTTCATGTGTTCCATCTTTATTTCCCTTTACAGCTCTCTCAATTATTGTTTGGTTCAAATTTTTAGAAGGGAGGAGACCAAATTCCTATCCTTTAAACCAAACAATGCACTAGGGAAGTAAAAGTTTCAAGTTCAATTCTCATCCTAAAAGGAGCAAGTGTGTAAAATTAAACACACATAAAAGACAAAAGAAGAAAAAGCTAGCAGTTGGCTATTAATATCTAAGAAATAATATTGATAAAAAAATTAAGAGGGAAATATGGTAATGAGTGGCATAAGAAACAGATCTGGCCTAACTCACTCCCCAAAAAGACAACTCAAGGGAAGATGATTGCCAAATTACAATAAGTAGTCTAGTCATATTCCTAGTAGGGCATTTTAACAAACACCTCTTACAACTAAAACTACACATCTAGTGTATGCTATTTGTAGGAGTGAACATCTGCAACTGAAAGTGATCCAATACTAGGTTGTGATATCATATTAAAAATGGATTAGGCCTAATTCATTACTAAAACTAGGTTGCGGGAAGAGGATTGTCCAGGTCATAAAAGGAATGTTCTAGCCATATTCTTAGCCCATTGTGGGACATCTTAATTCAAAGAGAATAGGCAAATTAAAAAGCTAATACTAACATAATATAACCAAACCTTCCCAAACACAAAATAACGGATTGAGCAAGAAATTAGACAAAGAAATCCCAGCAGTAAGTACATGCATGTGCAAATCTCCATTGAAATACCAAACATGATTCTAAACAAAAATTCATAGCTTTGATTTCGGGTTGATATATTGATTTTGAGTTGAAGGAACTTTAGGTAGCTTTTGTTTTGGATATAAATATTATACTAAATTTTCCTACTAACTTCCTTTTAGAATAAAACATCCAAAAATAAATCACATTACTTTAAATTCAATTTTGAAAAAAATAAATTTTGCAAAGACTTGCTCTTACATTTGGCCAAGAGATAAATTGCATTCAAGCACTCAATCTTTTTTACCATTTACCAAAGAACAAACTCTTTTTATCAAGCCTCGACTCTTGCATAAGAGTATCAGCACTAGGATTTTGAACAACCAGCCAAGCCTGATAGTTTTAAGAATTTTGTAAAATAACAAACCCAATTTTATTCAATAGAAATTTGTCTCAACTCAAGATAGAACTTCAAGCTCTCAAGAAGAAAATATATAGAAAGGAAAGAGCAAGGAAAATTGAAAACAGACTCTAGAAAAACATTTCTAGACAGAGTTAAGACACACTATATGGCATAGCAAACAACTTCAAAACAGAAAATGAGTTTAATTTTACTGTCATTTATTCTTAAAGAAGAACGTATTAACTGTTTTTCTTGAGACCAATTAATTGATTTCCTTTACATTCTTCTCTACCTCAATTTATAGCTCGCTAACTAGTAAACTACTTAAAAAAATTCCTAATAGGGCCGAAATAATGATGATTAGCTCACTTGATTTTTAGGGTGACTATCCCTTCCTTTCACTATGGTTGATCTTTCATTCCTGTGGGTGGGCTCCCTGCTTCTCTCTAACAACTACCTTCCTTAAAGGCATAAACATAATTTTTTCACTTCTAAAAATTGCAAAAAAGACTATTTTTGCCTCTCCCTCTCAAGTTGTCTGCTAAAGAACTATTTAGTTAATACTTTAATCATGGAGAAAATAATATTATAAATTTTATAATGCACCTAACTATCTGTGTGACAAAACAACTTTCTTGGATAATAGAATGTATGATAGAACTCTTAGGCTCAAACAATAAAATAATTTTTTTTTAAATAATGAAACTCATAACAAACTTGGAACTTAACCTAACTACGTGTGTGACAAAACAACTTTCTTAGACAATAGAATGTATGATAGAACTCTCAAGCTAAAACAATAAAATGATTTTTTTTAAATAATGAAACTAATAACAAACTTGGAACTTAACCTAACTATCTTTGTGACAAAACAACTTTCTTTGCCAATAAAATGTATGATAGAACTCTCAAGCTCAAACAATTAAATAATTTTTTTTAAAAAAAATGAAACTAATAACAAACTTGGAACTTAGTCTTCAGTAAGAGAAGTTAAAAAAAAAACGCTCTCAAGGCTAAAGCTGTAGAACTGGAAAAAATTGAAAAACCCTGCCTTGAAACTCAAGAAGCGCTGCCCTTTTGAGTTAATTAGACAAGTTTAAAAAAAATAGTTTTAAAATATTTATGAGTTTACACACATTATTCTAATTTATATATGAATAAATATCATTTTCATAAAAAAATACCTTTGTTTATATCAAATATCATTCTTTATATGGGTTATTTATGTTATTTAAACACATTTTATCCCCATTTTACACAACAAACATGAAGGGAGATCAATTTTAATTCTTTCCATTTACTTTTTCCCACAAAATAATCTAACAATTATCTCATTCTACTTTTTTTTTCTTTGCATTTCTTTTCTTACACCTCTTTATTGATCTCATTCAAAATAAAATAATAAATGATTTGATTTCAAAAATTAAATTAACATAAATTTGTTAATTGAATAATTAATACTTTTTTCTTAAATTGAAAGATAAAGTAGATGGGTGAGGTATAATTGTATATGCATTATAAATTTACTAAAACTTCAATAGTCTAGCTCCTTATAACAGAGGTAAACCGCCTAAAAAAACAACTGTAGAACAAAAAACAAATGCACATAGATGCAGCGGGTATGCAGAACCCACACCCAAACCTCTCCTTAAACCTCAAGTGCCACTCTCTCCCTCCTCTCACTCCATCACTCTATCTTTCCTCTTCCTTGCATTTTGGTCTTACACTAGAATTCCATTCTTTTATTCACAAATTTCTCCCTTAACAAATTCTACCTTGTTCCTCCTTTGGCTTTCATACACCTGCAATATAGTAAGCCCACTCCTCTTCCAAGCATAATATAATATGTAATATATATAACAATGATTGACCCCATGAAACAGGATAACAGTCAAAAGTCAAAAAACATGTCAGCCACGACCAAAAACCTTATACCTTCAACCATACTCGCATCATCATTGGCTTAGCTTGTCAAATACATGTTTCAACAAATATACATTTCTTGCAATCATTTTCGAATTTCTATTCCCAGCCACTGGCTATTTCAATTTCATACTATATATTCTTATGATCATTTTTTTCACATCACAAGTTTCATAAAATGCTGAAACAATATAATTATAATAGAAGTATTTAGCATAAATAGACCGCAAGATTTAAATTAACCCAGGGCCGAATTAGCCTCACCTTTCATGTGTTCCATCTTTATTTCCCTTTACAGCTCTCTCAATTATTGTTTGGTTCAAATTTTTAGAAGGGAGGAGACCAAATTCCTATCCTTTAAACCAAACAATGCACTAGGGAAGTAAAAGTTTCAAGTTCAATTCTCATCCTAAAAGGAGCAAGTGTGTAAAATTAAACACACATAAAAGACAAAAGAAGAAAAAGCTAGCAGTTGGCTATTAATATCTAAGAAATAATATTGATAAAAAAATTAAGAAGGCCAGATTTGTTTCTTATGCCACTCATTACCATATTTTCCTCTTAATTTTTTTATCAATATTATTTCTTAGATATTAATAGCCAACTGCTAGCTTTTTCTTCTTTTGTCTTTTATGTGTGTTTAATTTTACACACTTGCTCCTTTTAGGATGAGAATTGAACTTGAAACTTTTACTTCCCTAGTGAATTGTTTGGTTTAAACTTTAAAGGATAGGAATTTGGTCTCCTCCCTTCTAAAAATTTGAACCAAACAATAATTGAGAGAGCTGTAAAGGGAAATAAAGATGGAACACATGAAAGGTGAGGCTAATTCGGCCCTGGGTTAATTTAAATCTTGCGGTCTATTTATGCTAAATACTTCTATTATAATTATATTGTTTCAGCATTTTATGAAACTTGTGATGTGAAAAAAATGATCATAAGAATATATAGTATGAAATTGAAATAGCCAGTGGCTGGGAATAGAAATTCGAAAATGATTGCAAGAAATGTATATTTGTTGAAACATGTATTTGACAAGCTAAGCCAATGATGATGCGAGTATGGTTGAAGGTATAAGGTTTTTGGTCGTGGCTGACATGTTTTTTGACTTTTGACTGTTATCCTGTTTCATGGGGTCAATCATTGTTATATATATTACATATTATATTATGCTGGAAGGAAGTGACATGTTTTTTGACTTTTGACTGTTATCCTGTTTCATGGGGTCAATCATTGTTATATATATT